CTTCCATCTCGTCGAGGAATCAGAGGTGTTTAACCTCCTTCCATCTCATAGAGGAATCAGAGGTGTTTAACCTCATTCCATCTCATAGAGGAATCAGAGGTGTTTAACCTCCTTCCAGAGGAATCAACAACCTGAATGTTCAAGCAGATTCAATCTTAACTCAAACAAGATTTTTAAATTCCCACTAACAAGAATGGTACAGGCTCTCCATTCAAACTGGGCCTTTCTGATGTAACTGGTTATTTTTGTTTTATTTAAGGAACTTTAGTTTGATCTGTAACTGTTCATATGTCCTGTCGCTGAATGCATTTTTTTAGCATCTGTTTTTCATTGGATTGTGGTTGCTTTATGTTTTCTTAAACTCTACAACGGTGGTTCCCAAGGTTGGAGTCCAGACACAACTGTGAGCCACGAAACACAAAGTAGAGGCTGTTGAGCCGCTATACACAGATTAATATAACGTTATAAATGGTTGTCTGAAACATGTTGAGGCTTAACTGCTGCAAAGAGACAAAAACAGCAGCTTAAACAGATTATGTGGCAGCGTGCACGCTTGTTTACTTCAACCAGAAAAAACAACAAGCGGTACGTTGACGGATGTCCCCCGTCGCCGAGTGATTTGAACAGTGAATGTTTGTATATGTGTGTGGTGGCCATCTTGGATTTTGACTTTGTGACCCAATTTTACATAATGGTCTTTTTTTTTTATTTTTTTTTTTACACCAAGCTTTGTGCAGCTCACACGACGGACAGACATTTATAGCTGCAGCCATCTTGGATTTGGACATAACAGTTCTCTAAAGGAACCTGTTTGTAGTCGTTTCTACACACAAAGATGGAAGTCAGTACCTCTTATTTTTCCAGTTATCATGCTCACAACATACATAGAAGGACTGATGGTATTTCCACACGTGTCATTATCCATCACAAAAAGAATTTGTTATTTTTATAGATTCTGTGGTAAAACTTAATGTGGTAGTAGCTGAGAGTCATCCCCAACACATGTTCTGAATGCTGACTTCTTTATTTAGTATTCTTTAGGAATACTACTTTTAATTTAATAAAATCCTTAATTTAATCAGTTTAATGCAAGGTTGTTATAATAAATACGATTTATTTTGCTTCTCGACCTAAATGACAACCTTTAATAAAAGATTACTTCTCTTTTTAATGTTTTCATTTAAATAAAAAGTTTTAAAAACGTCCGTCTTCCATCCATCACATCCATTAATTCCGTCTCACTCGTGCATCTGTTGCGTTTTTCTTCCGTCTCCTCCTTGAGAACTGAATTAAACGCCGGTTTAATGGCGTGACAGATGAAAAACCGCAGATGCACCGAGCATTTATCAACTTGTTTTTTTTTTTGGCAGAGCAGTCGACTTCATTTGTGAACCGATGACATTTAAGATCCATTTTCTCTAACGGTACCGTCCGGACTTTGTTCAAATGTTACTGTTGACGAGCGCTGAATGTTCTTTTAGTGACGGATTTAACGGGAAGAGTTTGCGGAGAAAAAGGCGGTGGGGAGGGAAGGGGAGCGGGTTTCTTTACCTGGAATGTCCACGTTGGGGTTGACGGTCAAGATGTCTCCTGTTACAGACAGATGGGACAGTCAGGGCGGGGTCAAAGGTCACAGAGGTCAAGTCTCACTCACAGATTCACAACAAAAACACAATCTGCTCGTCTTTTGGAGAAACACAACCTGGTTCCTATTTTTCATTTAAAAAGAAACGGCAACAATATTTAATATTGCCTGGTATGTACCTGGTTCATCCTTTATACTTATCTAGTACTTACATGAAAGGTACGACCTAAAATATGCCTGGTATTTGGTATGTACCTCATAAATAGCTGTACCTAATATTTACCTGGTAAGTACCGGAAACGTAATGGGTATTTATTTACCTGTTATCTAAAAAGTATTTAATACGTACTTAATATTTATCCTTTATATACCATATGTAACAGGCAGTATGCACTAAGTACATAGTATACAGAATGTGTACACAGTGTACAATATGTACAACATACATGTTTACCTGCACCTAATATTCACCTGGTTAGTACTAGAAACGGACCAAGTACATACTTGCTGCATACGTGGTACTTATCTAGTATGTACCAAGTAGCACATACTGAGTACATATTATTTAGGACTTAGTACAAACCAGGTATATAGGCTTTTCTGTACCTAGTATTTACCAGGTATGTACTCACTGGGTATGTACCTGACTAGTAGTGAGTATTCATCAGGTACAAACCAGTACTTACCGAGTACATACTTGCAATGTTCAATGTACTTATCTAGTAAGCACTCATATGTACCCAACACAGTTCAGGTAATTACCCAGTAAGTACCAAGTATATATCAGGTAGGGCGACCTGGATACATAGCATGTAATATGAAGCGGGCAGTACGTACAAAATACATAGGTACAAGTAGTACCTGGTATTTACCTGGTAAGTACTGGGAACATACCAAGTATGTACCTGGTACTGCTCTGTACTTACTATATTCTCTTTGTACTTACCAGGTACATACTCACTGGGTATGTATCTGGCTAGTATTATGTACATGGGACTTGTCTTGTAAATACCTGCTATATACCAAGTATGTATTAGGTAGAATGTGCTGAGTAAATAGTATGCTGTACCCAGTTTTAACTGGATAGTATGTACAAAAAACATAGTTACAGGTAGGTAACTGGCATTTACTTGTATCTAATATTTACCTGGTAAGTACCTGAAACATACAAAATACATACTGGGTATTTATCTGAACCAATTACCTGGTACGGATTGGGTTTGTACTCACTGAGTATGTATTGTATAAGTACTAACTACTCACCTGGTAAGTACCATGTTGTATTATGTATTGCTACAAGAAATGTCTTTTTTAAATAGTTGGAAACTTTTTACTTTTCTGGTCTGAGTTTTCAAACCATTTTTAGAGACTCGTTCTGAAAATAAACTGCTGGGTTAAAAAAAAACAAAAAACAGTAGTCCCTCGTTTATCACGGGGTTTAGGGAACCACGCCCCCCGGGACAAGTGAAAAACCATGAAGTAGGGATACAGTAGTCCAAGTTCAAGTTTCACTCTCAATATCCTTCCTTCTGTGTAAATAAACAACTTAAATTTAAATACTGTAATATTTTAAATAAACAATCCAATTGTGTGTCATGCCCAATCTTACATTGAAAAACCGTGAAAGAGCGAGTCCGTGAAAGACGAACCGCGGCGTTGCGAGGGACTACTGTAATTTAAACAGGGACGTTGCATTTTTTTTTAAAGACCCTAAATATTTAAACTCGTCCAGGATGACAGAAACGAAGTAAAATCGTGTTTTAATTTAATTTACCCGTCTCATAATCGTCGGGCGCCTCCGTCTCGTCGGTACAGTGCCGCCGTCCGTCCTCGCAGTCTGCTCCAGGAGTCGTGCTGGGGGGCGTGGCCTGCGTCGCTGTGGTCGCCCCAAACGTGGTGATGGGCAGCGTGGAGGCGAGCGGCGTGGTGGGGGCCGCCGTGGTGGTTATCTCTGGAAAAAAAAAAACACAGACGATTTAGGAGTTTTTATTTTCACGAAGAAGCTTAAACTGAGAAATATGTATAAATTACAACTAATGCTCCGTTTAAAACAGGAGTTTTGTTTAATGGCACCCAAATCTCTCATCTCCTGAAGAAAAACGTCTGGGTTCATGAACACACCGCCTCCTAAAAACCCATAAAATGTGTTGATTTTCCTGAGGGGCGTTAACTGACCCGAACCAACTAAATCCTGATACAAAGTCAACACGTTCATGCAAATAAAATCAGCTGAACTCGAATAAACAAACGAACGCCGGCTCCGAATCCCAGCTGGTTTGTATTTAATTACTGGTAAAGTGCGTTTGTGACATTTTGAGTGGGATGGAGGTTTGTTCTCTCAGCAGCCGAGATCGTTAAAACCCAAGCGGCTGATTTAACTCCGAGCACAAAACAGAAGATCAGATGAGAAAGTTTCAACGTTTTTGTAAAAACATTAACACATGTTCCATAATAAACAGAAGCACCTTCAGTTATTTAATCCATTAACTGAAGGAAGCTTACATTTAGGTCATTTTCAACACGACTGCTCATTTAAATGAACTCATTTGACCTTTTTTGGACATTACTGACCCTGAAGATCAAAATTTTTTATTATTAATGTTTGATATTAAAGCAGAACACGAGTGAGCCACATAAACAGCTGTGATTTGGATAAATGTGTGAACCCTTATAAATAGATCATTTTCCTCTTTCTGTACGTTTTTCGACATTTAACTCGTTCTGTAATTTTTGTGCCATTTTAATAATTCATGTATCGAAACGTTCGGCTCGTTCAGGACACTCCGGCTTTGGCTTTTGATATTTACACAGTTTTTACCTTTTGAAGCATTCAGCTTTTTTCCCCTCATTAAAAATAAATGGAGCTCTCCACATCCTTTAACCGTTTACAGTTTTTACTGCTCATTTCAGCTTCTCTAGTTCGGCTTTTTTTCCAGATCCTTTCTGCTAATTTCAGCTTGTTTACTTTTTTAAAACCTTTATCAGTTGTTTTTCCTGTTAATTATGGTACTTTTTTAAAAATGTTGCCATTATCAACTTTTTTTATGTTTGTTTTTCTATTTCAGTTTTTTTAATGCTCTGTTCAGCTTTTGTTCTCAGTTGTCCAGGATGAGGATAATCCTAAATGTTGTTTGTTTGTTTGTTTTTAACTAGATGACCTTTTGTGTTGAAGATGTTTCTTGTCCCATCTGAGAAGCTTTCTCAGTTCAAACTGGAACGTGACTGGTTTGACCGGCACATTTCAGTGCAGGGAACTCCTTTATATTTTTGATTTATACACAAGTTTTACTGTGTACTGTGTTTTTGTTGTTGTTTTGTTTTACAAAGTACTTGAAGTTTTAAGTCCATTTGGTTTAGATATTCCTTTAAAATACTTCCAACTGTTTACAAAACTTCTATTTTTTCAGTAAATATGAGAAAACATTTCAAAAGTAATTTTATTTTATTGTCGTGTTTTACTTCACCATGAATTAAAAGTGTTTGTAGATTCTGAAGGTGGCGAAAAACACGACCCGAAACGTGTTTGAGAAAAAAATCTGTGCTTTTATTGCATCGGGCCCGGAAAGAGGAAGTTGAGTTACTTTTGCACGATTTGAGGAATCCGTACAGGCAGTTTGCTTGAAATAAAGAAGCCGACGGTGGTTTTCTCCGCGCTGCAGCTCACCTGACAGCTCCGAGTGCAGACGAGCAGAAAATATCACAAAAGCTGCAGAAAGATTTGGACGTTTTTCTGAAGATGAAAGAGAATTAAAGAGCGTTCAGATCCAAGATGGCCGACCTCAGCTCCTCTCTACTCACATAGAAGCTAAAAAATTCTCTCTGCTTCGGCTGATTCTTATCGCTCTCCCTGCAGGGCAACCAGATACTCCGCCAGAGAGTCCACTTCCTCCTTAAATCTGTTCCTGCCTCACCCCCTGTGAGAGGTCGCGCCCTCCCCCCTCCCTTCAGCAGCACAGACACAAACCACGACAGAAACATTTTCCTTGGATCAATTTAGACAAATTCACTTTCAGAATGTTTAGATTAGACTCCAGAATCATTGTGCCATGAAATATTCACCCCCCCAAACATCTAAAAACATACCAACAGCCTAACTTAGCAGAAGAAAGCAGAAAGAACACATATTTACTGAATTAGGTTTAAATAAGCAAAAAAATTAGCACAAAAATTAGAAAATTAGCTAAAAAAAAAGCTGAAATTAGTAAAAATAGCTGAAAGTAACTGAAAAGGGGAAAAAAGGCTAGAAGGAAGTTGGAGGAAGCTTTGAAGGAGCTGAAATGAGCTCCAAGAATGTGGAATTAGCTGAAAAAGCTAAATTAAGCATTAAAACAGCTCAATAGTAGCTGAAATGGCAGAAAAAGCTAAAATTAGCAGAAATAAGTTAATTAGGCTGAAAGTTGTAGAAATTATCGCGAGAAACTTGAATTTATCTGAAAACAGATTAAATCAGCTAGAAATGCTAACAAAAAAAGTAGAACAAGCTTAAATTATCAGAAAACAGCAAAAAGAACATGTTTGCCCAGTTAGGCTGAAAGATGCAGAAATGAGCACAAAATGGTTATAATCTTTAAAAAAACGGTGAAATGAGCAAAAAACAGCTGAAAAATAGCTAAAAAGGCAGAAAGAAGCTGAAATCAACAGTAGGAAGTGGTTTTTTATTCCCTGAATTTGGCTGAAAAAAGTTGGAGTGCAAAAAAATGTGAAGTTAGCTAAAAAACAACAACCTTAAATGAGCATAAAATGGCTAAATAGCAACTGAAATTGTAGAAAAAGCTGAAACTTGCAGAGATAAGCTGAAAGGAACATAAACTGAAATTAGCAGAAAGAAGTTAGACGCACAACAATGTTGTAGTTAGCAGAAAGAATCTGAAAGAGCACAAAATAGCAGAAAGAACTGCTGAAATTAGCTGAAAGTAGCTGAAAAATGTTTATATTTGCACAAGGAAGCTGAAAGAAGCTGAAGGTTGTAAACAGATCTAAAGATTTGACAAATGTAAAATGAGCTCAGTTCAGTTTCTATGAGAGAAAAATGTCAGAAAAGGCTAAATATTTCCAAAAAAGCTAAAGATGCACCAATACCAAAAGTCATAGCAGGATTGTCCTGAAAGAGCTGAACGTTTTATGATGTGTTGAAATAGCACAAAAATGTTGGAACAAGAAAGATGCTGAAAAACGTCCAGAAGAAAAATGGATCACAGTAGTGTGAAAACTTCGTAAACATTCACACGACTAGAGAAGATTCCTTTTCTGTGAAAACACTGAGCGCTGAACGTTGGAAGGAGAAGCTCAAACTGAGCTGTTGCAGCTAAAAGAAGCCGAACACGAGCTACAAGCTAACACGATCAAAACACTAAACGTGACAGAAGCTTCAAACTCTGATCCATGAAGGAGAACATAAAATCAGCAGAAGAGGAGTTTACTCCATTTCTCTCCAAGGCTGAACCCACTCACATGGTTCTGATCCACTTTAAGCCCACATCAGTGGGGACCGAAGGCTGTAAAGATCTGTTGCTCTGTCCCATCATGTTGTTTAGTTTAAATAAACACACACAGGACCACAGGGACAAAGACTCACCGTCCAGTTCGCAGCCCAGCAGCTCCAGACGGAGGCCCACCCCCTCGTTGGTCGACCTCTCGGGGTAAATCCTGACAAACCGGGTCAGAAGTGGACCCACTGATCTCAGCTCCGGGGTTTCATGGTTCTGATTCCCCATAAATATCTGAGGGAAACACAAAAACAAACGGGTCAAGTAAATTTACATTTTTTTGGTAAATTTTTTTTAGGTCCGCAAAACAAAATGCTACCTAAAAATAGCTTTTACAAATTTTAGCTTTCAGCTAGCTTTGTGCTCTTTTGGATTTTCATTTAGCTTTTTTGCCACTTTCAGCTTTCAAACATTTTGTTGCTTTTAGCTGTTAGCTAGCCTTTCTTTACTTTTAACTTGTGCTTTGCTACTTTTGACTAATGTTACAATAAACTTCGGCTAGTGTTAGCTTGCATTACACTACTTCAAACTAGCATTTTGCTACATTTAGCTTTCAGTTGGTGTTTTGCCACTTTTAGCATTCAAACATTTTGTTGCTTTTAGCTGTTAGCTAGCCTCTCTTTACTATTAACTTGTGCTTTGCTACTTTTGACTAAAGTTACGATAAACTTCTGCTAGTGTTAGCTTGCATTACACTACTTCAAACTAGCATTTTGCTACATTTAGCTTTCAGCCAGAATTTCACTACTTCAAACTAGCATTTCACTTATTTTTGCTTTCAGACAGCATTTTGTTACTTTTAGCTTTCAGCCAGCATTTTGCTACATTTAGCTTTCAGCCAGCATTTTGCTACATTTAGCTTTCAGCCAGCATTTTGCTACTTTTAGCTTTCAGCCAGCATTTTGCTACTTTTAGCTTTCAGCCAGCATTTTGCTACATTTAGCTTTCAGCCAACATTTTGCTACTTTTAGCTTTCAGCCAGCATTTCACTACTTCAAACTAGCATTTCACTTTTTTTTTTTGTTTTCAGCCAGCATTTTGTTACTTTTAGCTTTCAGCCAGCATTTTGCTACATTTAGCTTTCAGCTAGCATTTAGCTACTTTTAGCTTTCAGCCAACATTTTGCTACTTTTAGCTTTCAGACAGCATTTTGCTACATTTAGCTTTCAGCCAGCAATTTGCTACTTTTAGCTTTCAGCCAGCATTTTGCTACTTTTAACTAGTGCTTTGCTACTTTTGGCTACAGTTAGCTACAGTTTAGTTACTTTTAGCAAGCATGTACCTACTTTAAGCTTTTTTTTAACCTTGCATTTCACTACTTCAAAGAAGCATTTCACTAATTTTAGCTGTTAGCCAGTGTTTTTCTGCTTTTGATTTTAAGCTAGCTTTTCACTCCTTTAAGCTTTAAACTATTGTTTTTCTACTTGTGGCTTTTAGCTAGCCTTTTGGCTTTTAGCTACAGTTTTACTTCTTTAACTTGCATTTTGCTAATTTCAGCTATAAGCTAACATTTTGCCACTGGCATTTTGTCCCTTTTGCCTTTCAGCTTAATTTTAGTCTCTTGAGCAATCTTCTGCAGTCGTTCAGCGTTCAGACTGCATCTTCGTGGGCATTACCCACAATGCCTTAACACTGAGGCATTGTGGGTCATTTTGACCCAAGGGCAGCAGGAGGGTTCAAATCGCTCAAATATGAGTTCTGTTCAGCCAGTTCTTGTCCAAGGAGCACACAGAGGCTAATGTTCTGTGCGCTTCAGGCATAAGGACACGGGCCGGGCCTGGCCGGGCCTCATGGAGGCTCAGAGCTGTAGAAGAACAACAGGAAGCAGAGCAAAGGTGTCGAGAGGGAAGCAGATCTCCATCTACAGTAAAACCAGCAGGAATCTGACGGTCGGACCGGCCCAACATATGGAACACATCGAGGAGGAAGTGGCACCAACTGGGCCAGCCGAGGAGGGAAACGGGACAAGAATTTCCTGTTGTGGGTTTAAACACTCAAAGAGGCAAATGTGTAAAAATAATGCAATAAAAAATGTTGGTTGACTGGTTGATTTCATAAACGTTGAACTTTATTAACTGCCCGGTCCAAAAGTACCAGCTGCTCTTTAAGACACTCGACAGCGGACACATAAAAAAAAAGAACACTGGAGTTCATTTATGATCGACTCTTGTAAATGAGTCCCCGAGGCTCAGTGGGACTAACCCGTTTAAATAAAGGTTGAATGATTAAAAATATATAAATATTGCTGCGGCCTGAGAGCAGAGGTTCTGTAAGAGGGGACCGACCTTGGGCTTGGTGGTGTTCTCCTCCTTGATTACGGTCCATTTGTCTCCGTCCAGGCTGTGGCCCACCTTGAACCTCTTCACGAAGACGTTGCGGTCGCGGTGTTTCCCTCCCTGGATCACCACGCCGCTCAGCATCCTGTCCTGGCCCAGATCCACCTGCCAGGGAGTAAATAACAAACATTTAGCACAATAACTAATCAAATCATACGTTCAACACAACACCTCGTAGAAAATGTTAACAGGCACAAGTGAATGTTAGTTTATCACTTCTTGCCATGGGGCAGAGAGCAGGCGCTGATGTTTTTGCTCGTGTCTAGCTAACCAACAGCTAACTAGTTAGCTAATCATGACCAACAGTGCATTTAATCATCTACATTAGCTAAAAGCACTTTAGCTATGATTAGCTAGTTACGTAGCTGTTGGCTTGCTAATTCCAGATGTGCTTCTAAGTATGCACATTAGCTAAAAGCATGTAAGAGGCACTTTTAGCTATAATTGGCTGGCTAGCTGTTGCTAGTTAATCACAGACTGAAGTGTTTCTAAGTATACACATTAGCTAAAAACATTTGTAGCTTTTACTGGATAGATAGCCGATGGCTAGCTAATTAAAAGTGTCTTTAACGGCTTCTATCAACATTAGCTAAAAGCACGCCACAAGCATTTTTAGCTACAATTATCTGGCTAACAACTATTACTAAAACATCTTGTGAGCCATTGGACATTTTAATGAAGTTAGCAGAAAGTAATAATTGGATGAACATGTACAACTTAATTCAAGATGGCTGCCACAGCTAACTGACTTTTAAAAGCATAAAAAAATGCCATAAATCGGTTGATTTTACAGACATTGAGCTAAAACTTGGAGCATTAGTAGTTGAGAGTGATCCCTAACATATACTTTGATTGTTAACAGATTGTACAAAACGCAGTTTTAAAATTCTGCCATTGACTTTTGGAGTCAACTGTCTATGTTAACATAAACTACCGGGTGAATTTTTTATCATAGTTTTTTTTTCAGGATATACATCTTTAACTTTTAGAGCCAACCCAATCCAAGGTGGATACCACAGTCAGCTCACCTTAAACAAAAGTCACATTTGAGTCCATTTTCAATATATTGAGGTAAAACTTGACATGGTAGTAGCTGAGAGTCATTCACAACACATTCTGAGCGCGATGCCTCATAATGAGATTACTGATGGAACGTTTTTTTCAAAGTGTTGTAAAGAAAAACTGATTAAAAAACAATTTTATTGTAGAAATCAGTTCATTAGCGATGTCAGATTTGAGCTCCTCATTGAGATAATTGAGTTTTTTTGCTGCAGAAATCCAACGGGAGCAAAAAATCTTAATGAAGAATATTAATTTTGGACTCATTTGTTAGTTTTTCTCCGTTAAAGTAGCTTTTTGAGTTTTGCACCAACCTGTAGCCACTCGTTCTTGAACGGTTGCTTGGTCTGCTGCCCGGTCCAGCCCGACCTGCCTGTCAACAACCGCACGTTCTCAGCCACCCAGCCCCGATCGGCGAAGGACGAGGCGCTGATCTGAGCGTCCGAGATCTGACCCGACACCATCCCCAACATCACCGAACACGGGTAGTCTGCACAGAGGGGCGAGAGGAAACAAGGGTTTAATTAAATTGAAGAGGCGTACAGGGCGATAAGAAAATCCAGGACCTTCCAGAGCTCTGATGCAGTCAGCAGCTTTTGATGATTCCCTCTGGGTGCTGCTGCAGTGGTTAAATTAAAAATAAAAACACCAGAGTCATCCAGAATTTCTAAGATTAGTTCATTTAAACGGTGAACGCAGCTGTGAAGTTTCAGGATTTTGATGATGATCATGCAGTAACAAACCGATGTCCCTCGTCACTGAGGGATTTGAACAGTGCATGTTTGTAGTTGTGGAGATAAGTGTTTTTCTGGCATTGAACAGGAAATGCAAGTAAACAATGTTTTTTTGCTGTAAGATATTCAAGTGGGTAAGAGTTACACTGTGGAGAAGAACAAAGGGAGATTAAAAATATATATATATTTTTAGGCTTGTCTGAGGCGGCGGGTGGAGGGAGCAATTTTATCCACCACCAAGCACAGTGGCAGAGCCAGGGGGTGGCCAGTGGTGGCCTTGGTCACCATAGATTAATCCTTTGCCACCCCAACCATTTGAGAAAACTACAGTAGTCGCTCGTTCATCATCTAAACGCTCTAAAAGAGCACGCAATGTCATGATTTCAGCGCCCTGCCTCCTCTGCTCTTTGCCACCTGCAAGCACTCTTGGCCACGCCCACTTCTCAGCTCTGCACGCTGAACAGTTGATCAGCTGCAGCAGGAAGTTTATCCTGCAGTACGGGTTGCACAAAGGTGCAGGAGGTGCTAAATCATTTAAAATAATTTGTTTTAAATAAACAATCCATGCCGATCGTGCAGCTCGTCCATCGATCAGCCAACCGTGTGTCATGTCCAATCTTATTTTGAAAAACAACGACAGAGCGAGTCCGCGATAAACCAAGTAGTGAGGGACTACGGTACATGGATCTGCTGGAACAGTCATGCAGTGAAAAAATGGTTATGTAAAGGTTTATTATCGCCCACCGCCACAAAAGGCCAGTAATCTGTTTGTCTGTTTGTTGGCTTCAACACAACTTACCTGGATCTGCACCAGCGCGGGTATGACCAGTAACCTTTGCAGAAACTGAGCTAAACTTTGGTCTGGTAGTAGCTGAGAGTTGTCCCCAACACATACTCTGAACACCAACAGATCTTTGTAGAACACGTTGATATTTCAAGTAGCGGCAACATGCATGACTTATTTTTAAATGTGTTTTATTTTTATTCAAGTTGTTCAAAGATGGCAGGAGTCCACTTTAGATGGGTTAGGTCCAGCTATCTACAAAAAGTAAGATATTTATGTCCCTTCTTCAGAATTCATGTGGGTAAAATATCTTTAATGTTGTTGTCCTGACAGAATCACAAACAATCTGTATACACCAGCTTCTTGTTTCAATAAAAAAAAATTATAACGCATCTAAGATGATATTTCTGATATTTTCAAGTTAAATCTTTGAGCTTTAACAAATCATATTAAAATTTAATAAAAAGAGTGACTTCTGCTTTTAAAAATGGCCCTTCTGAAGTCACAAAGTTTAATGGCTTCTGCGTGAGCGTTTACTTCAACAAACTGTCCTCCACGAGTTGTTCAGTGCGTCTCCACCTTCACTGCACCTCCTGAATCACCTGTCCAGCTCAGCCCGCTCTCCGCCGAGCCGAGCTGCAACAACTTCACCGCTCTCCTCCTGAGAGTTGCTCGCAGCGCAGCAGAAAGCCGGAACAATGTTGGGGGGATGATTAATGAGGCAGCGAGACTTTGCTCTGCTTTACTTTAATGAATAATTGTGTCCTGTGGAAGTTTATGCTCGCTTTGGAAGCAATAATTATTTCAAATCAACAGAAAGCAGCAGGAGGTTCTCACTCCTCGGGCGATAAAGACGTTCGTTTGATTCATGATGTGCAAAAACTAAAAAAAGAAAATACTTCAGGAGGATGCGAGCAATTGAAGGAGAACCGTGGGCCAGCAGCAGTTTTCTCTTCTCAAAGCAGCCACATCAGGTAAACTAAGGAAACTGTGTGAATGAATGACTTAAAAACTTAAAAATGCTACCTAAGACAAGATTAAAAAAATACATTAAATCAACATAAATGACAGAAACATGATATTTTGGATTTATTGCATCAAGGCTTCAGACATGGACTCCAGCTTGACAACGTTACCTGATAATCTGCAACCGTAGACCTCGAAGCGCATGCAGATGCCTTGCTCCCAGGTCATGGGACGGATCCGGATGTAGCGGGTCAACGTCGGTTTGGGGAGGAAGGCACGAGCTTCATCTGTCGGGTTGTGGTTCCCCTCAAAGATCTGAAAATAAGACAAGGGGGAAAAAAGATGAGCTTTTGTTGTTTTATTATTTATTCACATTTATTTCCTACTTGTTAGGAAAATAATTCTTGTATGCTAACGTTGTTTACTCGAAAGAACCACAAGTCACGGCAGGTGAGTCGATGAGTCGGCCTTCAGGTTGAGATAAGAGAGTATTTTGGGAGACAGCAGAGAAGCATGTTAGGAGGGAAAGATGTTCTCAGAACAATATAAAAACATTCATACCCCTTGACTGAAACTTCTCTAACTCCACTAATAAAACTGGAAGAACCCTGAGCTACAGTGCGACTAATCTTAGTCATTCCTAGGCCTGTCGCGATAAACGATAAATCAATTAATCGCATGATAAATGAAAATTATCAACCTCATTTTCATTTATCGGCTTTATCGTTTCTTCGTGTCTCTCACTTTCTACTGAAGACACTGGATGACAAAAGGTTCAACTCCGGTGCTCTTCTCTGACCTCTCCCTTTCTCTTTAAAAACTGTTTTAATCGTCCAAAATTAGGTTTTTGGATCGTTAAAAGCAGCTACGCTGAGAAGATAAGCTAGAAGCTAAGCTAACAGGCCGACCTCAGGGGAAAAAAAAAACCTACGTCTCGTCGAAGCTCCAAAATTCACAGTTGAAACCCGTGCCTTCGTGTAAAAAGTTGTTTTTCTCTGAACAAAAAGAAGCTGAGAACTTGTTTACTGATTTTTAATTAAAAGCTTTGTGTGACAAATGCTATGCTAAAGAGCTCAAACCACACCGAGCGTCCGCCATTTTGAGAAACAGGAACAAGAAACAGCCCATGTCACGTCAAGGGGCCTCCCTCCCATTTTCTTAGAGACTCGCTGCTCACTTCCTCACTATCCATCCTTTGGTTCAGTCTTGTACTGCCATCCAGTGGTCAAAAAACGTACTACACACAAAAATTTGACATTTCTTCTTAAATTTGACAATAATTATTAATTATTGTCAAACAATATTATCGTTTATCGCAATAATTTCTGAGACAATTAATTGCAGAGCAAAATTTGTTAGGACAGGCCTATGGCTGCCGTTTGTGCAGCTTTTACAGATAATCAAAAACAGATCACTGCTTTCCCTCCTTTATTTTTACATTGTCTTAGTATTTTACTGAAACCTTGACCTTATATTATAATTGCAAACAGCTACAACTGCAGGCAACATTAGCAGAACGTTTTATATATTTATCGGAGGACAGAAAATACAGAAAATCAGTGCGTTATACATTAGGTTAGTGGATACGGTCGCATGTTCAACAGTCTTTCAAACATCTTCTGACTGTCAGAATTTATGCTTTTGCTGATTCGTTTGGAGTCGTTTCTGTTTTCTGTTCTGCTCAGCCTGCCTCGCCCAACCACACCTGTTCCTGGTTTCATTATCCGCAGCTGCAGCCACTCTTCCCATCAGCCTCAGACCATTTAATGCTCCCTTGTCTCACTATTCACCAACCACTGAGCATTTCTCATGCCGGCAGGTCCTCTTTTGATTCCTTGTGCTTCCTGTGTAAATTTCGTATTTAATTTTTATTTTTTTTTGTCGTATAGTACACATTAATTTACTTTTGAGTTCCTGGAGTCCAAAGCCACCTTAAACCATGACACTGATAGTAACTTTTGCACTTTGTTAAGGCGTGAAATAGTAATTCTGCAACTTATAAAGTCCCTAAAACACCGCTATTGGATCTGAATAAGCCAGGATTGCGGTAAAATAGCAAACTAGTCAGATAAAGGGCAAGGAAAGAAACAAAAACCAACAGAAATAAAGAACGGAACAGGATGAGGTAACAAATTAAGAGGTAAAGGGAGAAGACAAGAAACCAATTCATCTAAAAGAAAGGCCAAACTTAAACACAAATCTTAAAAACCATAACATTATTTTAGGAGTTTGTTAAGCTAAATTTACCGTATTTTTAAGACTAGAAGGTGCACCGGATTATAAGGCGAAATATCAATGAACGGGTCTGTTTTCATACACGAGGCGCGCCGGATTATGCCAAACAAGTTAATTTTGACAGATTTTTCCGTGTCGTGTACCACATAAAACCGGTTCGAGGTCAGTAAGCACAACCAGAACTGATACATAAGGTGCGCTGGATTATAAGGCTCACTGTTGATTTTTTTATAAGGATGCTCCTTACAGTCCGAAAAATACAGTACACTCAAAATAAATTTGTGAAGGTTCCAGACTTTTTCTGTGAAAGCAAATGACAAAAACTGGTGTTCTAGTATAATACCGCCTAAAGAATTCACATCTTAAATTATGTTTTTTGTTCTTAACTGTTCAACTTAAAGCTTAAAAGCTGAATTAGATGGACCAGTGGCTTCTGAAGCTGAGCTAATAAATAAATAAAAACACCAGTTAAAACAGGGTAATAGTGGAATGGCTGTTGAGGGTGTTTGTGCTCTTTGTTAAATTGGCTCACTAGTGATGTTTGTCAGTCACACTGAACAATTATAGGAGTTGTAAACCTCTGCCGTTGTCATTTTGTGGGTCAGAAGCTGAAAATGTTTTGAAAGTATTAACGTAGGTCAAACCTTAAATTTCCTGCTTTGGCTCAGGATAAGGTGACCATTTTCTTTTAAATGTCAGGTAAGAACTCAAATGTCCTTGAATGTTCGGGTTGTCTCTTCAAAAAGTATTATTTTATTATGATCTGCAGCCTCAGCACACGGTTCGGGCAGGGCTCAGGTCCACATTTAGCCTGAGAACACGTCAAGTACTATGACTGTGATTAGTATGCAGAGCCCTTCATCAGGTTGAGAGACAGCGCAGCTCGTTCATTACCTTCTGCTTGGAGCCCTCCTTCACCGTGACCCAGTCCTCTCCGTTAGAGCTCAGGTCCACTTTGTAGGAGCGCACGTAGTAGCGCTTTTTAGTCTCTTTAGAAATGGCGCCTTGCGTCCCGATGGCCGTGACGAATCTGAGAAAACCCAGGTCCACCTGCAAACACAAACCGTTACAAGAAGGTTCAGCACGATGTCCAGGGAAAAGCACATTATCATTTACAGTACGAGTTTTTCTCTGGACTTTTCTGGATAAATAAATCAAAGTGTAATTTTAAAGTTTAAGTGGATTCCTTGGTATCCACTTATATTTGGTACATTTAAAAAGCAGAGGTGACCTTTGTTGCACTTAAAGCGTATGAGAAACGGGCCCAGATCTCATAAATTATGCTGTGATCATCCGTAATTAGACAGTAAAAAGAATCGGAGCAGGGCGCTGGAGAAGCAGGCGCTCTGATTTGTTAGCGTAACCCCGTCTGGCCGCATAAAAAGGCTTACAGAAACGTTTTACGGGCTAGTGTTTGTCGGAGCTGACACGTATTGTAATAGTTATTCAGCTCAGAGCAGATAAGCAATTCATTTGTGTTTATTTGTAATTGACAAAGTTGAAAGATTATTTTAACCCAGTAGTTGGTCTTATGAGAATTAAACAAGTAAGGGCTCAGAATATAACTAAACAAAAGGAGGAATTTTATTGTAACTGGGAGGAAAATGACTTAAATCACAACTCAGCTCAAGATTTATACATCTGGAAACAACGCTGCTTCAATCCTCTTACAATTACCGTATTTTTTGCCGTATAAGTCGCACTTTTTTGCATAAATTTGCAAGTCCTGCAACTTATATACTTCCCCCCATATTTATAAACCAATTTCTTGCTGAGATCTGACGATTTCATTCATTCTGACATGAAAAATATTAAACATTACCATCTGCTAGAGGACCCTCGAGCATTATGGCAAGCCAAGTGTTTCATTAATAGGTAAAAGTGTCTATTAATGAGATTTGTCTTGCCATAAAAAGCCACGTTTGTCTCACTCCAGAACTCCTGGAGCAAACGTCAAATCAGCTGCATTTCGCTGCGCCGCCCAGGTGAAATTCAGCTGATCTGACCATTAAAGTGCATTTATTAAGCAAAAGTTAAACTGAGACACACCTTTACTATAATGTCAAGCAAACAAATAATTGTTTTTAAGTGTTAATCTTGTTGAATTCTTGTTACGCTCCCGCCATTTGGCAGCCAATCGATTTTTGGCACAACACCGGCCCACATTTCCGGGTTGTCATCGGTGACGCATAATAGATGTGACGTATTTATGTTTTTTCAACTTTATTAGACACATTTGGACAGATGCGACGTGTATGGCGGCAAGTACGGTATGTGATTAATGGCATGAGCACGACCCTTACAACTAAAAGTTTCTAACGAAGAGAGCAAAACAGACTAAACTTGCTGTTTGAAGCTTTATTAGAATATCCATTTAAGATAACAAAATCATCCTCAGAGATGTTTCAGATGTTCCTGAAATAGAAAAGAAAACCAATTGCAACTGATTTGATTTTGCTTTTAGCCTCAGTCAAACTCAATTACTGTTTTAGTTCCTAACAATCGAGTGAGATCATGTTATTCTTTTACTTTTTAAAAGAAATTCTTTATCTTAAAGTTGCAGTACCCAAATCACATTCCTTAGAAACACATTTTTAATGAAATTATGATCAACGAGCTACAGAAACAGATTAAAAAAAAGCCTTGTTGAGAGGTTGAGATTGGCTTTTAATCTCGCTGCAGGAACGCGGGCTCCTGTTCAAAGAGCTTTAATAGAAAGCAACTGAAAAAGATGAATCAACTGATGGTTATCAAAGAGCAGCAACAGCAAAAAGCCCTACAGTTTCTAAATGCATGCGCTTATCTGAAATAAGAGTACTTGGAGTTGTTCTGTAACGCCGTGTATACATTATCACTTCCATTTTATCTGTATTAGAGCATGAAATCAGTTTAAGTGTGTAAGAAATGACTTCGCTTCCATTTCAGGAGAACTTCTTGTTTGTCGAGGTCAGAAATTACGAGTCGCACGCCAGAATGTGCTCGTCGCTTCAGCATGTGGGACGCCCATCCTACACGGCGTGTAATTATACGCTTGTAGAGACGCTGCTGTACATGGGAAGGCCCCGGGGGGTGCAGACTTCTCCCACGGTTGCTTTTTTAGGGAAGGAGCAGGAAAAAATAATAATAAAGCACCCCGCCGGTCTCTGTGGGCTCCGAGATTGACATGAAGACCCCCTGAGAGATCGTGCTGCGTGGGATCGTTCGCAGACGCTCCGGTCTGTTCTCAACTAATTTCCCACGAGATGCATCACTTATTTACACCACGAACGTAAGAACAGGTCTCGTGTAGTTAATTGTTGTAAAATGTTCCCAACAAGCCACTTTAAATAACTGCTTGTAGGTTAAGGTGTGAAATGTGTTCCTCTAATGTTACTGGTTTAATGGTCGTGGTCATAACCAACAAACTCTACAACTTATGTCAACTTTTTTAACTACCCAATGGTTTAAAGCATCGTTTCTCCAAAATGGGATCATTTTTATTATTATTTTTTTTTTAACAAAGACGACAAACTAAAATAAACCTGCTTAGTTCAGTGTTTTGTTTTAAAGGGTGTACAGTAGTCCCTCGTTTATTGCGGAGGATCCGTACCCTGAAGACCCGCATTAAGTGAAAAACCACCAAGTAAGAATAGTAGTACAAGTAGTAGTTTATTTTATTATTTATATATTAAGTCATTTTAAACCCTTCCCAGACTCTTGAATTATTCTAGACAATGTTTCTAAACTCTAAACGCTCTAAAAGAGCAACGGATGTCATGATTTCAGCTCCCTGCCTCCTCTGCTCTTTGCCACCTGCAAGCGCTCTTGGCCACGCCCACTTCTCCGCTCTGCACAGAGATCAGCTGATTAGCTGCAGCAGGAAGTTTATCCTGTGGTATGGGCTGCACAGAGGTGCAGCAGGTGCTACAGTAAATCGTTTTAAATAATTTAAAATAAAAAATTCCATGCCGATCGTGCGGCTCATCCATCAATCAGAAAATTGTGCGTCATGTCCACTCTTATTTTGAAAAACCGCGATAGAGCGAGTCCGCGATAAGCGAACCGCGAAGAAGCGAAGGACTACTGTACTTGTTTTGTTTTCTTACTTCGCCTAAACTTGCAGAAATGTGAGAAGCTACTTGTAGCTTTTTAATTTCAGTCCATCCATCCATCCATCCATCCATCCATCCATCCATCCATCCATCCATCCATCCATCCATCCATCCATC